CCGTGTTAGCGCCCATCCACCATTTTCACACAATTTTTATATAACGGGGTCACATTCGGCAAAGCACCCACCCCCTTCAAAATGCTACTAATTTAAAACTTAGTCTTTGATCATTGCTTAACGAATACTGGTAATTGGTTTTATATGATACAGCGTGGATATCGACCGCCGAGAATACGTTGTGAATGCATAGACCACAATAACCATGCATAAACTTCACTTCGACAATGACCTGTCAATAAAGTAAAATGCAATAAAATACCAATCAAAAATTGCTGGTTACTAGTTTTTTTCAAAAACCAGGTCGATTATTCGCCAAAATTAATTCCAAAAGATCGTATTTCTACTGGAAAGACTTCATGAATTTTTCGAAAAATTGCGTCTGTACAACACAGCATTCAGATTGGTTAATAACAGAATTGACCCATTAGGTCAACGGTCGTTACTGCAGGTCAAATCATGTAAATACATCATGGCAGAAAGTGTTTTTTCATCAAGAGTTTGCGTACGATCCAACACATTCGGAGATAATGATGAAGATTTTGACTTTGACTGTGTTCCAACAGACTCTAATATTTTTAATTTCGTAAATTTGGGTGGTACGTAAATGAAATTGTAATAAAATGTGCATATTTTTTGCGATCATTTCTGTTTCTTCATTGTAAAAGTTAATTTCCTTCCAAGATGCAATATCCTCCTCAATCTGTCACATGACGAATTAAAATTATCATTTGCACTCTTTTCCATGGGGATGCTTGGGTAATCGCCCACCCCTAAAAAATCATGATTTTCTGCATTGATTACCCTGGGCGCTAACGTGGTTCAGTACGATAATGTTTCAGTTTTGTTCAGTGTGTATGCTGCCATAGAGGGCGCTGTCAAATCTTACCCATTTCATATCTCCAAAGAACAGTGACCCTTCTGTGAACTCTTTTCCAAGTGATACGTTAATGGTAACCTCTGCGTTGTCATAGTGATAGTTCAATGCCAAATCCTCTCCAATTTTATATTTGACAATAAACGCTTTGTGTGAGTCTAAGTTGTCCCCGCCCCAGTCTGGGAACAAGAGTCGAGTGATTGGTCTGAGGTAATTGATGCGCAGTGGTGTCATGAATTTTTCATCAAAGCCAAGTTCATTTAGCAGCACCTTAAATGTATAAGAAAAATGCGGCTTATAAGCTTATCTGTTTCGATTTACTGTTCATATTTCATTCGTAGCTTGTACAGGGTAGCGTTAAAAAATATATTGACACTATTAAAATGGAAACATGTGTTAACAGGATTTAATTATAAAGCATTTATGTTGAATGGATATTCATTACGTTTAAAATTCACCGGTTTTTGAAGGAAATAATACATTCTTTTGTTAAATCAAAATATCTACCAGTTATACTAGTATGTTATATTTGAGTGGATCTGATGTTACATGGATATTCATTGTTTTAAATTCAACTATAATCCAATTTAGTGGGATTACATTAATCATATTCAGCTGTTGGTTATAATATTGAAGAAAGAGATATGAAGAAACAATCTCACCATAGAAATCAGTGTAGAAATGCCAAATTTGACTATTATCCATGACATTACGCTATCTCAAATTTGTTATTTCATTTCGGGTATCCTGATAACATGAACCCATAATAACACATACATATAATCTTCAAATAGGTTTAACTTATTAATAACTTTTTATTTTCTCTGATCTATAATCAGCCATATTCTTACCCCATAATTATTCATGGTGTTGGGTCTGCCCTTGGGTAGATTTGTACTTTCAAAACAAGTAATCTCCTCCATAAACTCTTTGCAAAATGTTTTGGTGAATATTTGAAAGGAAAAGACTCTCTCAGCTGCAAGGAAAAAACAAAAATATTTATATTGCCTTGTTGTATATTGGTAATTGGATGCTTACTATGGATCCAGAACTTTAACTACCTCCCAATGTATATTTGACAGCCAACATGTTGTGTGTTTGTTCACCTAAATCACACAGTAAAGTATTGGCTGTTGCACTTGTTTAAGAATTGCATGCATGAGAGTGCATAGTTTCTTGTTTACAGGAACCAGTTGTTCACACTCAATAAAATGAAATAACAGCATTGTTCATTGTTATTGAATATACATGGATAAGTCCCTGTTATTATCGTGAACTATCGGTATTACTGATAAGTGAGCGACAATTGTTGTCACACTAGTTGGCAACAACGAAAACATATGACATCACAGTTCAATGGTTATTATGAGATGGCATAAATTTTGTATATGAAATGCCCTTTGAATGACCAATATACACTTTGTACAGATTGGCTGAATTGTGACTGAATTAAGAAACAGCAGAAATTGACAAAATGTTTTACCATTTTCAATCGACATCATTTTTACCAATTCCTCTGATGAAGCAGTCTTTGATTTTGCATAATTCACAATATCCAAGAACTCCTTCACAAAATAAGAATCCTGGAAAACAATGTGAAAGTGTCCTCAACTAACCCTTTGTACCTGCATTGATTGTCACGTGTGTCATTCAGAAACAAACAACAATTTTTAAGAGAAGCTGAATTGTTACGATCATAGAGTTACAAAAATGACAGTGTCCATATTTTAGAAATACTCCCTTTTTCAAACCATGCCCAAATTTGATTTTCAATTCATAGTTAAAGGCAAGAGAGATTGTTGTAGTTGTTCAATATCCATATTTACAAAATTAATGTAGTAACTCAAACTTAACGTTAAAGGATGAATTTCCTGTAAACAATCCAATATTGAACACGATGACCAGATGCATGTTTGAGCACATTTGAGCACATTTGTGGAGTTTAAACAAAAAACACATATCTAGGTGTGTGGTCATGTTGGGTTTTATTTTCATGTGTTTAACCAAGTCTCTGTTATGCTTTGACGATAACAGTGGGTTACTACTTATTGTGACATTTTTATTGTAATCTATCCATACTTTTTTGTTCATTCTTGACACTGTCACTAAAAACCTGACAGGAACTATGTCATTGACTTGTTTTATAATGCATTACTGTACCTGGAGTTGGTAAATATGTGGATGCAATGGATTATAGTTTGTTGATATTTCACGTCTTCTGTCAACATACTGCTGTCCTAGCATTTTTCTTCTATTGACTTCCATTTTAATCTAAAGGAGAGAATACACAAAGAGAGAGGTTTATGAGATCTCACTGTGGTGGAAAAATATTAAGATCACATCAATGTTATAGTTCAAGAAACTTTGGTCATTTGAATGTCTGGGGTTGACTGAGAATTGTTTAATTTGACATGAATCCTTCAATTTAACATGGATATGAGGCAGTTCTAAACTTCTGGTTAATTAATAGTAGTATTAGACTTTAGCAAAATATTTTTTTTAAGTATGGGTAAAAATGAGTAATAGTTTAATTGTGACTAGGGCTTCCTCGCTCGTTATCAAGCATGGCAATGTTTTACAAAAGCTAAAATATAGAAGAAGAGAATCATGTCTTTTTCATGTTAATATTTGCTCAGGGGATTAAGTTATGGACATTCCTGTGAACCTCCTAAAAATAGGCTTTTTACACAGGATTAGCTGTTCCTCGTTGTTTGTTCTTTCTATGAATTTGATTATTTTGTTTGATATACAAAGGAATCTTGCTCACCTTTTCCAATACTTTTTGCAGGTCAGTGCAATCTTTATTGGCTAATATCTGAAAAAAGAAAGATTTACATTTTGTTTAGGAAATCAGATTTTGCTACACCTCTTCCTAAATACACAAGGTTCGATTGAATACTATAATATTAATTTTTAATTATGGAAAGAGTTCCTTTTGTACCGGTGGCATCAGTCTTATCCGCCTTTCTTGCCTCCCCGGTCCCACCATCCTCCCCTGCCTTCCCTGTTCTATGCCACCTACGAGCCTTTCTGCAGTTACGTTCTCACAACGCCTGACCTCTTTATTAAATCCACTGGTTCCCAATGCGGGCCTGTACTCAGTTTCCAACGTGATGGGGCTTCATGGGCATTGCATTCTGGCATTCCGGCAGAGATGATAAAGTTAGTAGGGGACTGGCAGAATGGGGCCTTCCGTAAGTATCTTCACCCATCTCTTAAATTCAATCCAGGGTCCATACTATCTATCAATTTGGCACAGCCCTACCCTCTACAAGTACTCCTACCTGAATCCTGTCACACTTTGTGCTCACAAGAGTATTTGGTGTTTTAGTTTGTTTTCATTTGTTGTGTTTTAGTAGTAGTCTTAGTTTGCCAGTATTTGGCCATATTTCAGCAACCTTGAGGTTGCCATGGCAACAGATTTATTCAGCAGTGTCTTTTTATTGGCCAAACACTGGCCCCCTAGTTTAAACCTACCCTTATTGGATCCCAGACACTTGTGTGTAATTATGTGTCTTTGTTTCTCTCCTTTGTGGTATGCAGCCCTATCACGGCGTGGATTTAAGGAAATTCACTGTTCAGCAACACAAATGTTGCACGCCACGTGCATGGCGCGACGAGTCATTTTCAAATCGGGATCCTTACCTGCTTCCAGTCATTCGTGAACTGTTCGTCATCGAAGTACGTCACATGCAGATCATACTCCGATAGGAAAATATTGTGAGTGAAAAAGCACGAACACACATAAAACTCTGTTGATGGGTCCATTTTGTCCGTTCGCACGTCAACAACATTAAAATATACACTTCCGGTATACCTTTCTCTTCCGGGTCAAGGATCAAAGTTCGATTTGTACGCTACATTTGCAAAGCTTACATGATTCTTGTCCGGTCTTATACCTGAAACTAATTACAAAAGGTTTTACTTCGATGGTCGGTGGCACATGAAATGGCGAGCCCAGATGACAGACCACCATGTCCCGGGTGTTCTTCTTATCTGATCGAACCTTTTATAAGATGCGACGTTTGTGGTCCGCCTCTATTTTATCTCTGTCTTCAGGTAAGATCATCAAGTTCAACCTTTTAGTTTCTAGCTCCATGGTTTTTAATAGGTTCACCGCGTTTTGTTCGGATCATGTACCCGGATCATGTTGACCCCGGCCAACTCATGGCGAGAAAACGCCCTGGGCAGTTCTTCCCTTACCTCGGATAACAAATATTATATAATATTAGTGGTATGAGCGTTAATTTTGTATTGTATGACACCTGTCCCTCTGGTGGTACATTGTGTATTAATTCACGAACAAAGTAAATGTTTGTTTTTTTGTCACTGGTTCAAACAAAATATTCATGTTTTACCTGTGCACCGTTTTGAGAAAATGCCAATTTCCTATTTCCCAGGAACTGTTGTCACATGTGACCCTACATCACGTGTCTTTATATAATAATAATAATAATAACTTTATTGAAATCGTATCCACAATGGGGTATATATATGGAATATTATTATATTTCACCAGTGTGTCATGCCTGTAAATGCACGCTTGTGATTGGATGAGAGGTAGTTTTAATTTATGCAAGTCTAAAATACCTGATATACCAGGGTTTTCTGTGTTTAGAAGTGTTGAAATTGAAGTAACATGATGCAGTAACATGGTTTAATTTTTTTTGTATTAAGGTTATTTAATACCACAACAACAAGATATAAGTTCATTATAAGTAAAGCATTTATTAAATATGTGGCACACTTTATGGGTATGCAAAATTGAAAAACAAAATGCTCAAAAAATGCTCAAGTCACACGATGACGAGAAGCAAAACATAATATTTTTGTTTGACCTGAAGAGATAATATACAGTTTTTGGCCTCGTCTGAGGCCGATATCAAGAATTATCGTCTCCAAGTTTCTGTTATTGGCTAAAGCTACTGGCTGAGGCCAGTAACAGCCACTTGTGGAGGAGTTACATTTGTACTGTAGCTATGTAAAGCAGTCACACATGATGAAAGTGTTGTGGAACTTTCTCATTACCATTCTATTTTTTTTGGATTATTAAATGGAATAAATGAATGGCCACCTATGGCATGGTTTTTAGTGTATTCAGTGTATTCCTGTATACTGCTCTGGTGCCAAAAAAACTGTCACTGATAAAAAAGCATCGAGACAAAATGACACTTTTTACATAAACTTAATAATAGATTTGTGCATGGCTCTTGACAACAGATAACACATTGACAACTACAGTGTTTACATTTATCATACAATTTACTATTTCAGTGTTTTTCTCGTGGATGGGAAGGAGATGGACATGAAAATAACCATGCTTATGAAATCATAGTAAGTGTATTGTTTTAAAAACTATATTTTTTCATTGTCTGCACCGATGAATTGATGAATTCTATGCATATACATATATATATAGTTTTCTTTATTTTAATATCATAAGCTATAAGTGCTATCAAATTCTGGGGGAGATTTTGGTTATAGGTTAGTATAGTGCAATAGTTTCGGGGTAAGTTTTGACATGGTTTGGTATTTTTAAAACATTGTTACAAATATAGTTGTATAGTAAAGGTACAAAGCTATATATCAACTTTCATTCAAATTCAAATATTCAATAGTAATTGGCTCAATAGCTAAACATTGTCTACGCCCATAATGTGCGTATGCCTTCATATGACATAGTAACTGTCAACCTCACATATTCAAAATGAGGCACTTGCTGTGTTTGGATAATGTTAATAACTGTAATAACTACCTCATTAATATTAATTAGAACTAATGATGCCTCAAGGTAATTTCTGGATTGGTCAATTTGAATTTTAACATTAATTATAATTTATAAAATTGTTTATACATAAAACTTTTATAAAGACCACAGCTTTATGCCATTTACTGTACCAGTGAGATATTCAAATTTAATATAAAATTAACATTAACATCAGTATAAATATGCTAAGATTGAATCAGATAGGGTTTGGGTCAGTTTATGTAATACTAAGGGAGGGACAACAAGTTTAATTCACAGTCACTGGGGCTGAAAATGAATAAATACTATTTTTTTTTTTTTTTTAAAGTCGTCTGCTATTCACATATAAATGAACAAGTTATGAAACATAGCACCTAGTGAAATCGACACCATGTCAGTTTTAAATGTTGATTTCTTCCCTGACTTTTAAAAAATAATAGTATTTATTCATTTTCAGCCCCCAAGTGACTGGTTTAATTTATTTTACATGTATTTACATGAATACCTTGTGTGGGGGGGTTCACATGTGTAGCAGAACACAGGGTTCAATCCTGAGTTAAATAACCCGGAAAACATGTGTGCACAGATAAACCCAGGTTTCATCCCAGGTTAGAGGTCAGAGGACTGGTGAGGAACCCAAGTTCCATGTTTTAATTTAACATCGATATGAGACATGTGAAAAAAAAATTTTGGGGTTAAATGTTAACCACTGCAACGTGTGAAAAGAATGTTAAACCCACTGATAAGAAATATTTTCAAAGCAATATAGTCTTCTGTTTGTCAGCTTATATGAACAAAACTTTATTCTTTAACATTTTTCAATTCATTCCAACGAAACCTGATATCAACACATATGGACAAGGTCAAGTTTATAATTTTGAGACTGTGTGTTGGTGAGCGTGTATGCCTACTTACTTTGTAGACACCTGTGTATGCTCATGACTAATCATAAATTTGCATTTAATTTCACGCATACATTAATTAATTAGTTTAGATTTATGCTGTATACATTCAGTAGTTAATGTTGTAGTAGTATAGTGAGTCTGATAATTGTGTATAGTGTAGGTTCAAAGTTCTCATTAATTTCTGTATTTTTAATCTATTTTTCTAAACATTAGACAAACGATTTTAGCGTGTTAGATCATAGATGGACTGCTAAAGAAGAACTTGCATTACTGGAAGCAGTCGGTGACTGTGGACTTGGCAACTGGTAAGTGTTTTGGATTACACTTTTATGACTTTTAGTTTGTTTAAAATCTCTAAAATATCACATGTGACTGTCAGACACACAATCACCATGGCAACCTGAACATTGTCTAAATTTCAGCATATTAACATTTTCACCACCAGTTTCCTCTTTTCATCACAAATTCACAAAATAGTCCTGTTTATAGTCTGCACTTTTCTTCAGGAGATTGGGACAAAAATAGCCAAATTTTTTGAGTAAAAATTGAAAATTGGCTAAAATTTCATCTGTTAGCTCCAAAATTAGGGTTCTTTTTTTAGGAATATTGAAGGAATGAAAAAAAAGATGCCAACAAATTTGGACAAGAAAGTCTGGTGGTGAAAAGGTTAAACACATTTTGGAGTACATGTATCACGCTACACAAGATGAAATGCTATTTGTTGTTTACAGGATAGATGTTTCTAATCAAGTACAAACTAAATCCAAATGGGAATGTGAGCACCATTATCTGAATACCTATATTATGTATCCTAAGTCACCACTGCCAGGTATGTCTTGTTAAAACTTGTCTACACTAGCTTCCATGAAATGTATGATAAACACTGCCCTCAAGTTGATTTTTGCTAAAAACTCTTGTTTGGGTGAGGTTACATTTTTCATTTTTGTGCGCAAAGCATAAAAGACAGTGTTTGAGTTTTCTCTATATGGCTGTCTATGTTTTTAATGTATGTGTTCACCAATATCTCAAAATTTAACAAACTAATGAAAGAAGTTAAAGACAAATAAATAATAATGTGCACTGCTATTTTGATGCAGAAATAGATAGGGTTGAAGGAGGGTTAAAGTAGAATGTCAAATTTGCTGAAACTATATGATGATTGAACAAATAACCATCTCTACTCGCGTTATTATAGCAAGACTACACTGTATCTATTGGTTTTCTTAGTACAAAACATGTGGTGAAATAAATCAATATGTTCATTTTCAGTTCTACCCATACCTGATATACCACAGCCATCCAAGCCTATACTGTGTAAAAGTAAGTTATTACACATTCTAATTCCCAATATATAGTTTATAAAAAAAAGCAGTGTTTTTCTTCTTCACGGATTGCCCTTGTCTATTATGTCCCCTTAGTTCCATTCATTTTGTTTTTTCATTAGTTTCAGAAGACCCACCCAGACCGGCGAAAGACTCCCAGAGAGCAACTGACATGGCAGGTTATATTGCTGCCAGGGGAGATTTCACAGAGGTAAAAAACACCTAGTGTGATCTGTAGTATGGAATTTTTGTTTATGATTTGTCGTAAATAAATCATGTTGCACGCAGCAAGTAGAATTTAACCCCTATTATGCATTAATTTAATTCATTTTTATCATACAACGATCATTTCTGACTTTTCGCATTCCAAGCCTCTTTTTTGTATTGATGGAACATATCAATGGCGAATCATATGTATAGTATCATTGCAGGAGACGCAAAAGTGAGGTTTGGGATGCAAATTAGCCAGCAATGATCGCTGCATAATAAGAGCGAGTTATTACAAATACAGTCTCTATGTATGATGTGTTTATTCAACAGGAGTATGATAACTATGTAGAATGGGATGTTAAAGATGTTTACTTTGCTGATGATGATGAGAGGCTGTTAACCGGTAATGAAAATACACATTAAATTTATCATTGTTTTGATATTGCCATTTATTATGGTTGAAGTTTTTCACGAAAAACAGCAATTCGTTTTTGCTTTTGTGATGATGTCATGTACATTTGTCTCACTTGAAATTAAAGCAGTTTATCAGCAAAGTGTTAGTTTCTCTGTATTTTTGAAGTTTCACTTATGTATGTCATTATCCTTTTGGATACCATAGTTTTTTTCTGACAACAAACAGGTGCAACATTATGCTTACTTTTATGTATTCATTTTTTTTTATTTTGTACAAAAGAAACTTGCTATTTGCTCTTGATTACAGTTTTGAACAAATTTTAAAATCTAAAAAAAAAAATATATGGATTGTATTTTTTGTAAAAGGTGATGAGATTAGGTTGACTATATCTGATGGAATTAAGACAACAAATTAATTGTTGTGCTAAATTGGAATTGTTTTACCATTAAGTATACGTTATAAACATGTATTATTCAACTGAGCTATAGCTACACAGTGATCTTCTCTGTGTTACAATAATATTGTTTTGATGTCCAAACTTCAATGTCTGTATCTGTTTACAATTGATTCCAGCACTTAAGATGTCAGTAGTACAGATTTTTTACTCTCGCTTAAGAGAGAGACATAAAAGAAAAAGGTGAGATTGCAATTTCAATTCATATAATAACTTAGTTGTACTGCATCTATACTGATTATATTTGTACTCGCGGATACTTCATGCTGCATCTGTACAAGTATGTTGCATTTTTGCACAGCAACCTGTCTCAAAGATTTTTTAGCTCCGCTGTCGACTTTGTCGAGCGGAGCTTATCATATGAGTGATTGTCCGTCGTCGTCCGGTGTCGTCCGTCGTCGTCCGTCGTCCGTCGTCCGTGTCAATGTTTTACTTTTTCGACTTCTTCTTGAAACTACAGCCTGAATGCTTTGGA